GACTGTCTTAAAATTTAAAATGGTCTAGGAATGTAGAATGTAGCTCGTTGGTAGAGCCCTTGTCTACTGTGTGCAAGGTCCTTGGTTCAATCCCTAGGACTGCAAGGGAAAATGGAAGGGAGGCTGGAACACAAATTAGTGGTGGAGCACTTAGCATGCACAAGGCCCTGGGTTCAACCTCCCAGCCCACAAAGAAAAGAATACAATGTATTCCCCAGGAACAACTAGAATAACCCTGCAGGTCTGACAACAACGTATCTTCCCAAGAACAACACTAGAATGACATCCTGCAAGATCTGAGCCACCGTTGGTGCCGGCCTTTCTAGGAATGCCCTCCCCAGCTCAGTGGTAAATATTCATATCCTGCCCTCCTCCAAACTGCGCCCTACTCATCTCCCCACCTCTATGTCCCCCCTCCCCATCCTCCTAGTACTGGAGCTTTAACCCAAGGCCTCACACATGCTAGGCAAGCCCTTTTCTTCTGAGCTGCCTTCTTAGCTTTGCCTGGATCCCTTTATTTCTATGCTAACTAGCAGCCCTCTCCCCCCTCCTGAAGCAAAGCTTCTTCACACCGGGTGGTCTAAGATTCACCTGGAGGTCTTGTTGAAGGGCACTTTCTACTCAGTAACCCTGGATCCTGCTGAGACGCTGCATTTGCACAAGCTCTGTGTGGTGCTGGGACTGCAGGTCCGTGGCCCACACTTTGGAGCAACAGAAGTCTGAAACTGTAATTCTTGGCTGGATACACCAGGCTGCAGGAGCCATATCAAGGTGCTTTGAAGGTTCTGGGTGGTTTTTCTGTGCCCAGAAGCTCAGAATCAAAGGTCAGTGTCCATGTCCATGAGAAAGGAGACCACAGAGAGAGGGGAGAAAAAGGAAGGCAGGAGAGAGGGAAGAAAGCAGACAGCCCAAGAGAGGACATCAGTGCAGGCAGGTTGAGGGAGAAACCTGTGCTGGGCAATAAGGAAGGGAGGGGGTGACTGGTAAAGGCCAAGCCCCTTGGGGAGACTGGATCAGCCTCTTCAGTGCAAGGCTCCGTGCTGGGCTCCTGGACACCATTATATCCACTTCTGTGTATCATAAATACATAATGTCCTTGCTGACTATTGTATATGTTTTAACTGTGGTTGTCATGGTTACCTAGTTAAAATACTGTAAGACTATTCGTGAAGCTGGAAGAGGAATCAAGGGATTGGATAGGAATAGGAGTTTGAAACAGTTTGTGCACCTATGGTCCACTAAGATCTGTGGGCCAGGGCCTCAAGGAGATAGCAGTGAAGATAAGACACTGGCAACTATATGAGAGGTGGCTGTTCCTGCTGTGGGCCAAACCTAAAGACCAAAGATCAAATACATGCTGACCTCCCTAAAGGTAAGCATCCAGTGTTGATCATCACCTTGAGGAAGCCAGGGAGAGTCACTAATCCAACTGCTACTGGCTACTGGATAAAGTCCTGTTCTATATTCATTCCCACTTGCTATGTGACTCGCTTCCCCATTTGGTCCTGGATTTAATCAGTTTTACTGGAGCAATGGTGCTTGTAACCTTATTGGTTGACCACAGTTTTGTCCCACCTCATGCCCACCTAAGTGAGTTCCTATATTCGCCACTTTAGACCTGCCTCACCATACGGTTTTACTCCATAAAAATCCCTGGGAATGGTAGCTTCCCCAGAGCAATCTGCTAAGGTCCCCCTTCTGTCCCTTCTTGGACAGAAGCTTTCTTTCCCCCAGTAAATATTCTGCTCTTACCCTTGTTCCTAAAATTCATTCTTTGGTTTTAGAGAACACAAACTCATCCTGGGTACCTTTCAGGTTGGGAGTTTCATTTCCCTATATCATTAGAGTGGAGCAGTCACTCATCCCATCTTTACAAATAGGAAGGAGGCCAGGAGGGGGAACTCAGCTTTAGCCATAGTCACAAACTGGTACACACAGGAGCTGCAGCTGGAACTTGGGCATCTGGAAGAAGCATCTCAGCGATACAGAAAAGGAAGAGATATCATGGGAGGGGTGGGAAGAACAGGACCTCTGGAAGGGGCTCTGAGGACTGGTGTCTTTGAAATGTGAAGATCCTGCAAATGCGGCTTGAAAGAATATGGATGGAGAGCTTACCTATAAAATGGGGCTGATACATTCAAGCTTGCAATGGGCAAGCAGGCACCTGATCAGCAGACGGGACAGGAGTCATGCGGAAATCACAGTAAAGACCAAGATGTGGTTCCTGTCTATCCCCTAGTGGATAGGACAAGCCAGATGCTCCTTCAGTGTGATTGACAAATCTCTGAGCCAATCTCAAGAGATCAGCAAAGGCTTCCTCAAGTAGCACCTGAGTAGTACTTAGTACTAATAGTACTTAGTGCTATGTGCTTAGTACTCCTATGGTAGTACTAAAGTAAAAGCTTTGAGGAAGTGTTCAGTTTGCCTCAACACATGTCCCTGCACAGCAGCCTAGGTCTCTTATCTGACTGCAGGGAAGAGCTCCTCTTCATCCACAGAGGACATGATTGCAATGTAGAAACACATTTTTCTTTTTTCTTTCCTTTTTTTTTTTTTTTTGCAGAACTGGGGATTGCACTCAGGCCCTTGTGCTTGCCAGGGAAGTGCTTATGCCACTGAGCCATCTCCCCAGCTCCTACATTTTTCTTAAGGTAAATAAACCATTGAGATTTGGGGATTGTTTCCTTGCAGCACAATATAACTGACCCTGACACATTTTATCAAGCAAGGTTTGGCAGCACCGAGGGCTTTATCCCTGTTGCGTATTTAACACCCTGAATGATTTAACTTCTTTCCCATCATGACGGATATCCTTACATTCCCCTTGTAAGTCATATAGCCTATTTGATTCAGCCTAAATTCAAAAGATAGTCACAAAACTAGTTATAAGACACGAGGCATTTGCTGAGCTATTTAAAGACACAGTCTAGATATCTTACACATGTCCCATGTGCCCACACATGTCCAAAAGCAAGCCACTAATGAATCTCCCTTTCCCTAAGACAAGATGTCAGGTTCTGCCCTATAATCAGGCCTAGTGAAATTGGTAGGCCAACTTCATGGTCGTGGAGTGTGGGCCTGATTCTGCCATTCAAGAGTGAATGGCGCTGGACAAATTACACCTTTGAGCCTCATTTCCTTTATCTGGAAAATGGTGAAGATAATAAAAACTATGTCACAGAAAAGTAGTATTTGCATACTTGCCGTATGAGCCATTCTGCAGAGAAAAGTATTGTGTGTGGAAATGCTTTAAAATGGGAATGCAAATATTAGC